GTGTCCGTCTGGTATTTTTTAAGGTAGTTCACTAAATAAACACTTTGACTTTTAAGCAAACTATCACTAAAGAAAACAATGTTTTCATAAAGCTTTTCCGTTAAGCTGTCTTGATTGGTTTTGGGCAATACAACTGTTTGCAATATCTCCTGTTTTTTAGCTTTTGGTTGTTTGCAAGAAGAATTTACGATTGTCGCCAAAAGTAAAAAGAGGGTAAATTTATAGGCGGTCATGGTTGTGGGTATCGGGCCCAATTGCGGTTTGGGTTTGTGAAAGGATTCGGCACTCCATCAGCCTCCATAATTTACAAAAGCAAAATAGTAGTACAACGTTTGATTCTATATTCATCAGCCGCTGACGGCAAGCAGTATATCAACGAATTGTTTTTAGTATTGTCATTCCTTCGTCCCAATTGTTATGTCCCGAAGATGTATTTATATGTCCGGCATTACCAATATTTATAAATTCACTCCCCCAACTATCTGCAAAAAATTTCGCTCTGTCCAACGAAACCCAAACATCATCTGCACTTGCAACGACGATGGTCTTAAAGCTTATCTTATCAAGTGGAATGGGAGCAAAACCTGTTGCTAAAAAAGTATATTGCGAATCTTCAAAGTCGCTTGGTGCCACAAGTAAAGCTCCTTTAATTTGCCTATTGTACTTTGCCGCCCAATGTGCAATAGCCACGCAACCTAAACTGTGTCCGATAAGTACAACGGTTGAAACGTCAAACGCCAGAACTTTTTCGTCAATTGTTTCTATCCATTTCTCACAAGTTGGTGAATCCCACTCTTGTTGCTCAATTCTGTAAAAGTTCTCGCCGGCATTTTGAAAATATGTCTGCCAATGTTCCGGCCCCGAATTTCCTAGCCCGGGAACAATTAAATAATTAATCATCTTTTATGGCATTTTAATAATTTAAACATATAATAAATTTTCATTTGCAATCCTTATACCAATACACCAACCTAACACAAAATGTTCGAATTCCGGAACGATTTTATATAATAGTTGTGAAAAGTAAAAAATGCAAATTAACAAAAAATCAGCACAGTATACTTGTAAACAAATAAATTATCTAACAGAAGGATCATTAAAATTGTTCCGATCAAAAGCCCCCTACTTTAATGTGCAGCATACTAGAGACGCATGACAACTACTGTTAAAAACAAATGCAGGCCATCCGGCCTGCATTTATCCAGCAGCATTATCATAAACACTTTACAAACGCTCAATCACCAGCGCACTGGCACCACCACCACCATTGCAGATACCTGCCGCGCCATACTTAGCACCTTTCTGCTCCAGTACATGCAACAACGTCACAATGATACGCGCACCACTGGCACCCAATGGATGCCCCATAGCAACAGCACCACCGTTTACATTCACCTGCTCGGGCTTCAGCTTCATGATCTGGCAATTGGCCAAACCTACTACGCTGAATGCTTCGTTCAACTCAAAGTACTCAATATCTTCCATCGTCAGACCGGCCTTGGCTACCGCCTTGGGCACTGCCAGAGAAGGGGTTGTTGTAAACCACTCCGGGGCTTGTTCCGCATCGGCATAACCACGGATCTTGGCAATTGGTTTAATACCCAGTTCTTCT